CACACACACACACATACAGACAAGTATAAATAAAGAACGCAGACAGTGATGAGACGCAGGTCGTGCGTCTGTGACTGCCCTCGCGAGTAAAGACAACTGCAGTGTTTGTGTTTTCTAACTCAGGTGTCTCAAGCTGAAGAACTACGGGGTGATTTTAAGAAATCCCCTGTCAAAGTTAAAAACACAACAGCCTTAATAAACAGAGAGTAGTTTGTACCTGGAGGCAGGATTCATACGTCAAAACAAGTCAATAAGGGACAAACATGCAGTTCTGTCAGAGCAGAGGAGGGAGCTGAAAATGTGACGAGTGTCGGGAGATGAAGCGCAGGTGACGTCACCTGGAGGGAGTGGCTGGAGCAGGAGGACTCAGGCTGTGGTGCTGTTTCCTTTTTGCTCTCAGGAAGAGCTGGTGCAGTTTTTCCTGAGGTAAAGGTGCTTCTGAAGAGTATAGAGTGAAAACAAGACAACGTCCAGCCTTTACAGCTGTGCCGAGAGCTGCACCTCCGAGCTCTTTATTCACGAGTCATGTTCAAGCCAACAAACAAACACACTGACAGACGCTCCGTGCACATGCTTATATTACACTTTCAGATTAGACACGACGAGCTGCGCGCTTGTTCTGTACATGCAGTAAAATGAGCCTTCATATTGTTTCAGAAGGAAAACAAGAGCATAGGATAAAATCTCGTTTCTCAGGTTACCACGTTTATGTGTTTACTTTTGTGCCCTGTTGTTCTGAAAGTGAAATTAAAAGGTGTCACATTTACAGAGTTCATGATGTGTGCTATAATCTGGCAGTCACCTCTGAAGCGCATCAGCCTTTCTTTCTTTCATCGCTCTCGTCTCTCGTCCCTGTCGAGACTCCGTCCTCGTCACTTCCGCTTGTCCTCCTCTGTTCTCCCTCTCCTCCTTCCATCCACTCCCCGTCTGTCCATCTTTTCCTCCCAAAGCGGAAACCAAACCCTCCCTTCTCACGGCTGACAGCTTGGAGTCCTCCCGCAATGGAGGTCAGAGCATCGTTCCTCTTCCACCCATCCTCCCCCCCCTCCTGGTAGTGCATGCTCTCCAGAGAGTGACCCTCAGGGAAGGGCGACAACGGCTGGGCCATCAGGTCTCCTCTCTGGGCCTGCAGCAGAGCTTCTTCTTCCCACGACTCGTCATCCTCCTCACTCTCCTCACCTGGCTGGATGTCTCGAGGCCACTCGGCCCCCGGCTCTTCCAGAGCAGCCTGGAGGTGCAGCAGGGTGGACTCCAGCTCAGATC